TTCTCTCCCACCCTAATTGATATTATATATATAGAGAGAGAGGGAGTTGTTAAAGCCATACCCCATATTACCATCTCATGATCAATTTTGTCCATCCATGACTTTGTCTCTTGTTTTCTATCCCCAAAATTAATTATCACATAGTTTTGAGGGTGTGGCTTTAACAACTCCCTATCTATATATATATATATATATATAGAGAGAGAGAGAGAGAGAGAGAGACGCATATAGTTATTTTTTATATTTCTATATTTTTCTTTGAATGTGCTTGATTTGTCTCTTTTAACTTTGATCTTTTGTTAAAATAGAAATGTAAGACTTACACTGTTTGTTGAACTTTAAAAAAGCCTTTTAATTTCTATTGTAGATTTTTAGGGAACATAGATTATCTTTACTAGAAGTGCATCTAGATTTGGAATTTTGATGGATGTTTCTATCTAGAACATGAACTAAGGAATACATTTGGATATGTTAAAAACTTATAATTTTTGTACAAAAAACTAGCTTACGAATGTTTTAGGTGTAGACAATGTAGTGTTTTCAGGACTTGAATTGTTTCATAGTAAGTTTAAAGAAGCTTTTTACACAAAAAATAAAAATAATTTAAATCCTCTTTCTCTTTCAATATATATATATATATTCCAGCAAATGCAATCTTATTTTTTATTTAATCATTCTTCACTTAATTTAATAAGATGACTAATTTATATATATTACCAATATATTTACTCATTTAGTATCAAAAAGTCTTTTATTGAGCCTATGTTTTATTTCAATTCTGTAAAATTACTCAACAGAAATACTTCAAATCTTAATGCCTAAGTTTAGATAGCTCAGTTCTAACACATGTAATCTGGGTAGATTAAATTCAAACAGTAATAACTCCAGTTAAAGCCTGTTCCAACTATATTATATAATTTCGTAATCTTTTAATTATATATATATATATATATATATATATATTGAATGTATGAGTTTCTTTCCACCACTCTTAGTGTTTTTTTTTGTTAATGTAGGATTAAAAAAAATTGATTTTTGCAAATATGTATTTAGAAATTTAATACTCATGAAGAAATTGCAAGTATAAATTAATGGTATCTATATCTCTTGAAAAAAAAGAAAAAAAAGTATGCATGCCAAGAAGTAGATAGAAATACCTTAGCTAGATATTTAAAAAATAAATAAAACAAAAAATGATTTGTTGCAAACAGTACTTTACAAACCTTAGACTTCATTAACTTATGAGACAACTAAACTGTTCTTTGTAGAATTTGTTTATTGGAAGAAAGTATTTGAAAGGCACTTTACATTTTTTTAAAAAAAGATAAGAAGTATTAATTTTTAAATGTCTTGATTGGTTAAAATTGAGAAGTCTCCTTAATCTGATTTAATATTTTTAAAAATAAGCCCTAAGTCCTAGAGAAAAAAATATAAGGTGGAATTCCTTTTTTTGCCTACATGTCATGAATATTATTGTCTCTCACAATTTCTGTTGTGCTTATTTCAAATGTGGTTAAAAGTATTTAAGAAGATGTGTAAAAACAGCTAAAAATAATATTTTTATTTTTTAATATAAAGAATCAAGCTTTTAAATATAAACATAATTTCACATATTTAGAATTTAGATAAAAATAATAATTTGGTCCATTTCATAACAACTTCTAATTTCAAACTACCCGAAGGCAAAATCTGCTTCTTTACCAAGCAAAGGACCTTAATAAGGATTTTGAACCATGGGCATTCAAAGTGGACTTCTAAATATAAAGTGCCCTCCAGAAATCCCTACATCATTTGAATAAATATAATTAAACAGAAGTAAGTAGAAATAAGGACAAGCATGTTGTAATAAAGAGGTTAAAATGTCAAATTCTTATATAATGCAACACGCACACAAACATTTTTTATCTTTTATTATATATATATATCCCAAAATGAGTGTCATTCTTCCAAAGAATCTAAATACAATTGGAATTCCTTATCTCAATAACTTTTTCAATCAACCAAGATTCCAGAAACTGGCATGCCAGGTGAACAAAGGTATTGAAATTTATTAAACCCCTTCAATTCCATGAGAACGCAATTAATCGTTCCCCTTCAATATCGTGGACGTTCCCACGCATAAATGGTATATCCACGTCAGCACAACACACCTCATCGCCGCCAACGTGGCATAGCTGGCGTGGCAGAGGCTCAGCTTTCTCATCCATGGGCTCCTCCCGAAACCCTAATTGAACTGCTCTATTCATCCATTCCGTTTATCTCATCCCTTCTGTTCGCACCCTTTTTATTTTTTCTCCATCGCCATCAATTTTGAGAGTTCGGAACTCTCCCTTTATTTTTTGTCTGCATCAATGTTGTTGCTTTAATTAATTTGTTTTCCAAAAACGAAATCTGGATTGTGATTATTCAACTTTAATGAAGAAACTTGATTGGTTCCTTGAGAAGATAGGCCCCATATCTAAGCATGAGTCATGTTATATAGAGGCATTTTAATGGTGATGAGAGCTTCAAGTATTGCTTAATGTGGACAAATTCATTCATTGCGAAGCACTTTGATACCTCCATAGCCATCCATACATCCTTCTCTTAATCATAGCAAAAGTTAAAGCAAGCAAATGGGGCCCCCAACCTTCATATGTTGCGCATTCACGAGGCTTATCACAAAATCTACACATCCGCATGAGCATGCCCATATTGCTTTTTGAACAAGGAATGTGATACGAAAAAAACACCCCCTTTGAAGCAATTGCATCTCATGGATGATTTTTTTTTTTTTTTTTTTTTTTTTTTTTCACTCATCCATGATGTAGAATGTTTGTTTCATTTTCATTTCTTTTGTTTGCTCCAAACCCACTTTTCTTTGGGGGTTTTGTGAGGTGCAATAGAAAATGTCGCATCAAAGCGTGTGATCCATGGATAGAACACGTGGATGAGTTGCTTTTGGATGAAAGGGGTTAGACCTAAGTTTAAATAATCATCCGAAGGTGGGCCAAAGCATCCAACCAAAGAGGCCTTGGATTCAATGCTTGCCCTTTAGTTTGGTATCCTTTTGTGATGTAGAAGTGGGTGTTATTCAATTTGGTGGTTGAATTCAGTTTTTAGCGAAAGAGCCTCAAACTTTTACTTTAGCTTCTATTGGTAGTCTTGGAAAGCATACTAGAAGTATTCTAGAAGGATTTGAGCAATTTGTTTGCACTTAGTAACATCACACTGAGAGTATAAAAGAATGCTTTCCATAGCAAAAAGAATGACAGGGATAAATGTAGATGAAGAGGAGAAAGTAAAAGATGTTGGTCATGTCTGACGTGGCTTCACTGACCGTACACACTGCCAACTCGGCTCAGGGTCCAACTCAGCACACACCATGTCGGATTAGCTTCAATTCATATTTTTCAACCTTCTTTAAATTTTTAAAGTTTTAATTTTTTTAATTTTTTTTTATTCCCCTTCTTCTTTTTTCCTGTTGTTTTCCATTCCGAAGTATTTTTTAAGGATAATTAGCTTAGCTATAATTCACTTGTGTAAATTAATAGATTTAAATTTGTATATTGTATGAGGGATTTTTTTTTTATTATTATTTTTTTAAATAAAACGAATACCATCAATCATAGTTTTATTTTTATTTTTATTTATGAATCTAACACACAAAAGCTCTTGAAATAATAACATTGAAATAATATTGTATTGATCTGATGTTTTATTTTAACTAAAGTATGTAGAATAAATCATGTACTCACGTCCTTTCAATTCTTGGCTATACAATTTATATATATATATATATATATATATATTTTACTTTCGATTTGCAAATCAAAGTACAATTTCATCTTCTTTCTTATTGAGACACACAACAATTTGAGTTTTTACATTGTTTCTCTTGCCATACCTTCCTTGTCTTCAATGGAAGAAAGTGTTTTAACCAACTACTTGAGTGCGACTCATGGCTTTGTTTTTAAATTTGTACAAATGAGTTTTTAGAGTGCAAGCTATCATGTATTTGAGAAATGATGAATGCCTTTAAAAATGTAATTGAGACTAAACTTGCAATTCCATTTATCAAAACTTGACATTTAATGAAATATTTTTAAAGAATGAAATAAGTTTGATGCTTTATTTTAATACATGGTAAATAGATTTGGTCCATACATGAATATACAAATAAATAAAATACCATACATTTTTATACATTGAATTAATAACAACATTGTATAAATTAAGAAAGGGAATCATAGATATTGGTTTACAATTTGCATTGCATGAAAATTGCATCATAAAATATTAATGATGTAATTGTTGATTACAATATAAATGTATTGAAAAAAATAGAGCATTTAAAAGTGACATAATTAGAAAACTAATGTTAAATGTACTATAATAAGTAAGTACATAATTTTTTGATGTAATTATAATTTTTTGTATCATTTGGGTGTATGCAAAAATATTGATGTAATATGATAAATATATAATCTTTTTTTTTTCAACCATATTGCACAACTTTAAATTATTTCATGGACATTCAATACATTATTCAAATTGTAATATAATTTTGTATTATTAATTTCAATGGGTAGAAATTGTTTTAAGTGTTTTTTTCCTAAGGGTAATATTAAATTGACCCACCATAATGGCACGGCTCAAATAAATAAGGCTCTTACCAGCTGGTGTGAATAGTACATAACAAACACAAACTACTTTAACTCCACCGACTTTCTCAACCCGATTGTGTACTGAAGGTAGAGCAAAAAATAAGTCGACAAATATTGGATAGCTGATGAACTAGAGATTGTGTACGCATTACTGTTTGGGATCCGTGTGGTCATGTTATTTAATCAAATTAGGAGTTCATAAGTTATGAAATGCAATTCTGATTAAATAACTCGGATTATATAACAATTGTTTGAGATGTAATTGAAAACGCTGCTGAGTAAAAGACTGGGAAAGAGGGGTCCAACCACACCACGCTCCACAGCTCCACGAAACCATCACACAACACATCCCTATTGCACAAAAATGGAAACTTTTTCAGTGTGGAACGTAAGATGAATACTGTAATTCATGAATTACTTCTCAGACATAAGATAAGAACTGAGGAACGAGCCTCTCAAAGAATGTACGAGCCGTCTGATAGTGTACACATCTACGCAAGACGGCTATGAACTTGCGATAAGCTCATCCACAGTCTTAACAGTCTGTTCCCGTAAATTCAAGTCCTTAACGAGTACTTTCCCCTCCTTCCATTCAGTGGTACCAAGTAGTACGAGGCGCTTAGCTTTCAACGTCTCGCAGTGCTTGAACACCCTGTAAAATACACCATGTTAAACTTACGCTAACCTAGCTTTGTATGAGTTGTCTTCACACCACAAGAAAATCAGCCAAATTAAACTACGAGCAGGAGGTGACTGAGTGGTGGTAGAGGATATTATATGAGAATCTAAAATATCAGGTCAACTTCGTCTTCGAATCAAGAACCTGTCTATCCGTAGACTGGAACCACAGAGGAAAAGTTTCCAAGGTCCATATATGCGTACTTCTTGTGGTAATGAGGTGGCTGATGACAGTAGATTCGACTGAGGTCCTTAAAACAAAAAAATGTGAGGGGACATCGACGACAGCTTACCATTTCATTTTCTTGCCCTTCTCAATAACAAGCTCCACAACCCGGCCAGTACTGCGCAAGCGACTAGCGATTCCTGCTGCAGGAATCTTTAATGAATCATCCAAAGCCATCACGACATCGTCCACCTCGTGAGGGAAGGCACGCAGCAACTTTTTCTCCTTCAGAAGCTGCACACATCCAAATATCATTACTACATAGCGCATAGTGGAGATGACCTGAAAACTTACGTTCCCAAATTAGGGGAAAGTAGCTACACTGACACAGGCATGCCCTACATCATTCACTCGCTGAGCCCAAATACTGCTTCTTTAATCAGTAAAACCAATTTCAACAGTCCAATCCACTCTGGAAACCATCACCTTGCCTTGCAAGAATAATTACTTGGAATATCAACTCAAACTAAGATACAATTAGAGCTCTATAATCTCAGTTAGTGCTCTGTGCAAGAAATGCAGAAATAAGAATAGTTATATTAGTATTATGTTTGCGTTATGTACTCAAGAGGAAGCATGTATAAAAGGTTGGTATTGATTTATTGATTATCCAAAAGTGAACTTAAGATTGACTGTGGAACAGCTTGCTAACCTCAACAATAACAGCATCACCAAAACCAAATCCACAAGCAGGCGTGTCTTGGCCTCCATAAGTGGAGAGCAGCCTGTCATAACGACCACCCCCACAAATGGCTCGCAGTTTCTTTTCCTTATCAAAAGCCTGAAAGATATATATGTAGCCAACATAAGAACACATCAACAAAGCAGATCAATCATCTCCAGTTCATACCAACATAAAGCACAATAAGGCTGTCTCCTGCAGCAGAAAACTGATTTATATAATACAAAATCATTCACAGGCTCACCACATCTCAATGTGTTTCTGCCAGCTAGAATTGGACGAAGTTCATGCTTAATTCACTTAAGAAGCTTAAATCGCTTGCTGAAGGTATAGAAACAAATTGAACAATATATCAGCAAAAAACCGAGTCGAAGTAACGCACCTCAAACACAGTCCCAGTGTAGTATGCCAGGCCTCTAACGACTGAGGCATCAAACCTTAGCCAATCCTGGATACCATAACCCTCTGCCAAGGCGAAGAGTTGTTTCAATTCTGCAACTGCACCACTCTCTGCTCCTATTAAAGCTGCCAAACGTACATCATGTTTCAATCATTAGTAATAGTAAATCAGAATCATAGTACAGTCCACTACGATCAGAGTGAACACTTAATGACCACGATTGAGCTTGCAACCTCCAGATTGCCATGGGCTTGTAAAATTTCTACAATCAAAGGCACCACTCATGTTCAAATCGCATGAGATAGATTACCTTCAAGATCATCAAAAGATTGAAGAGTGAGAGCTTGCAAGATTCCCTCAATGGCCACGGAAGGAACGCCAGCCTTGTCCAGCTCACTCTCGATTTCCTCCCTCGGTAACTTATCCAACTGATGAATGTATCGACAGAAGATGATGAGCATACGTATGGTGAGTCAAACGAGAATCAACGGATATGCTAAGCAGAGAAAAAATCTAATGTAACACACGAGAACGTCCAGCCAAATCTGCTGACAAAGAAAACAGTCGGTGTGCGAGAAAATGCAACAGAAACTTGTGATCCCCAAAGAAAGAAAAGGGTATGCAACAAGACCTTATCAACGATTACACACACTGCTGCAAAGGAATCAGGCTGGATGTCATACTTCTCAAGCACTGCTTGGAGGACCTGCATATTACCAGGTATGTGCTATTCGTAAGTTACGCAAACCAGTTCAACCACTGCTAGATGGTGAGCACGAACATCAACATCAAAGACATCGAGAAATATATATTAGTGCAACGCATTTAAGTGTGCGCTATTCTAAACAATGAGATGTTCTCAAACTCATTCTGAACCTCTAATCTAGGTCTAAGAAAGTTTCTGAACCATTTGTTGAGTGAAAAATCTCAGGATTAAAACACATAAAAGAAGAGACCTTTCGGTTTGAAACTTTGATCCCAACGTCATCAGACGTAATGTTGAGTTTAGTGAAAAACGTCACGATGGCTGATAAGAGTTCAGCTTCAGCCTGTAACACCGATAAGAGAATTTTAAAAAAACGAAAAAACAAACACCCAAGCTGCGAACCCTGGGAAGGTTGTCTACTGACAGGAACAATACACGAACACAGTCTCCTACAGTCCAGAAGATGACGCTCGAGTTCACTTTCCAAGTCTAAACAGAACCTTTTGTTCCTAGTGCAGAGTATACTTTATAACCTTTTAGGAAACGTGCTAAACACGAATCAACACACTTCCATTACAGTCATTGGATAAGGATCACGCTGCTTGCCTCAACTCCGGGAACGCCAATGATGTCCATATTCCACTGGTAGTGCTCCCTACGACGGCCTCGAGTCATACGCTCATACCGCCAGCACTGACCAATAGCAAACCACTTCAAAGGGAAGGACTGAGCTCTCCTGGCAAGGTGAAAGACTTGAGTTTGTCACAATCTAAATCCTCCAAATCCACATGATTATAAATAATGCCCCCAACGAATTAAGGAAGGAGAACGAAAATAGCGGAGTAATATAAATTTGACAAAGGCGAACAGACCCTTTCTGCAGAACAAGGCGAGCCAAAGAGGGTGTGAGCTCGGGTCGAAGGGCAACCTTTCTACCACCTTTGTCCTCAAAATTATAGAGCTGCATCAAGCAAGTGCTCAATGTCAGCACTCGTACTTAATACACAATAACTAACAGCAAATGTCCACACAACTCTGGGGGTAAATGAAAGCCTGTTTCTGTGAAGAAAGGCTTGCTATCATTCATCCACTGATACACAGCGTCCTCAATGACGTTTGGATCTTGTGAACCTGTCCAACGATCTCTTCGCCAGCTTTACGGGTGTAAAGGTCCTCCGATTCCACCATCGGAAAGTCAACTTCCTCAAATGCAAACAACCTAGACACCTGCATCATTCAACAGAATCAGCGGACATCTTCGCAAACCCTACACTTTGGGGAAGCAAAGAAGAGTTTTGCACGCAAATATTCATAAGCGCTACAAAATAACTTTCAGTGACTGGAGCAACGTGTCATTGTTGATCAGTGACATGGTTCATGTCAATTGCAGATGCAGTTAAAAATGTATGCGTCCAACCTCTCTAAATTTATCGAAGAGCCATGTTCGCATGCGCATGTCCTCAGGAGGAAAATCTCTGGTTCCCCGTGGGGGATCAGTGGTAATTTGCGTCTGCATGGTGCCTTTGGAACTAGCTTCCTTGTCCTTCGCGACAACCGCTAGATCTCCCGACATGGCTCTGATCTGAAGATGTTGTTGAGAAATAAGGTATTCTGCAGAAAAGAAAATAACAGTTAATGGGACACTTTGCAACGAAATCAAACTGACACTCGACTAAACCCTCAGTATAAAACCTCTGAGTTGAAGATGTGTAGGAGCTTCACAAAATACATAATTTCCTCAAAAAAAAAAACATCATCCACAGGGCAATGACCTAGTAAACACTAAAACCCCTAATTCAGCTAAGTATGGTACGCACATAGCTCATGAACCCTACATGGCGATCGCAGCCTTTCGTGTAGAAAAACAAGACACTCCAAAACGCACGCTGCCCGTGTCACTAGCTCTCGGGTTACATGACTGAGGAATTGGAGGAGAAAAAAACTCTTTGTCTGAGAAACATTGGAAATTCAGACCAAAAACATGGATCCCTCGGGTGTCGAATTGGGGGTTTCAATCGGCACCGCAGGGCTTCCAATTGTGCCAAAAACGCAACATCTAAAAACCCCCATTGAAGTAAAGATAACACAGATCCTTGCACTAACCATTTGCACCAAAACCTAGACGTCTCAGTCGCTGCCGGAACACTCCCCACAGACCTCGCCCTCGCATTCCGCACGCAGACCATTTTCAGTAACATGAACGCACCGGCTCCATAGCAACCCGACGTGGGGTCACGGCCTGCTCAACGCAACGCGAAACATACAAGGGTACATTGATTTACAACGGCTGCGGGAGAGAGTCTAGAATGGGCAGCGGAAGATGCAAATAACACACAACGAAACCTGGAGAGTCCTTAACACCATGAAGCCTTCACAGACGCGCTTACAGTAGGAGGAAAAAAGAGCTTGGCCCATGGGACCGTGCCTTACCAATCTCTCAACAGCAGCAGCCCATGCAGGGCTCTCCGATCGACTCTGGGGGCACGCACGCGAGGAAAGCATTCGGTACTTGGAGAGCTCGAGCTCGCAGTGCGAAAGACTCGAGCGGAGGGGCTCCGCGGGCACCGGCTCCGCGCGGGGGCCTCTCCATTGGCCGCGGCCGCCTCGAACCCTAACCCTAATTTGTAACACTATACTACAATCCACCTCATCTATAGCTGCTTAGTTGGACTCATACGTGGCTTATAGAATGGTCTCTCAAGGTTCATAGTTGCCTGGAATTGCACTTAAATGGCATGTTTTCTTATTTTTTAAAAATGTGTGTGGGAGTAGAAATATATATGTAGGGAATTGTTAAAAGCACACCCCAATGTTGTTAAAGCCACACCCCACATTACCATCTCATGATTGATTACGTCCATCCTTATTTCCATCCCTTGTCCCCAAAATTAATTATCACATGGTTTTAACATGGTATCACATGGTGTGGCTTTAACAACATTAGAATGTGGCTTTAACAACTCCCTTTATATATATAAACATATACACTTTGATGTTTTTATTTTGTGTGTGAGTAGGAAAATATATATATATATATATATATATATATAAACATATTTTTTTGTTTTTATTTTATAAGTGTGAGAAGCTGTAAATGGTCAATGATGGATAGTGTTCAAAATTTGGTGTCAACTTTTTCGAAAAAAGAACTTCTCAACTGACTTTGATCATGTTTTCTAGTTATACAGGGAATGAGTTATGTAATTTGCTGATTTCAAATTGAAGTGTGCTTTATTCGGTGTGGAATTGCCATTTGTGACATAGCTGTAAGAGTGAAGTTGTGTGAGTAATAATTTGGGTCTGTGTGCCTCAATTTAGCTGACTTCCAATATCAAGTGGTTTTGAAGGTGCATTTGAGGCGTGTCGTGATGAACAAGCAACAAAGTTTCAACCTAATGTATATCAACTAATTTTTCCTTCTAGGTTTGCAGATCATGTTCTTATATTATTGTGAAATCAAACAATTACCAATGTTTATATAGGATTATTGCAAGGAAGAAAAGGATAACAGATTTTATTCATACCATGTCATTAAATTCATCATACGTGGCATGCAACAAGTTGTCGACTGAACAAGATCGAATTAGGAAGGACCACAGCAGACGGACTTGCATTAAAACGTGGTGTATTGATACTGTACCAAAATACACGGCAGAAGCCCCAAATTTCCTAGACACGTAGATAGTGCCAACAAGAATCTTTACTATATCGTTCGAAAGATTACACGGGCTTAAATTCCAAAGAAAAAGGTGTATGCTGTTTAATTATATTGATTGCACGATACGAATCGATACGACTTCATCATTACAAAACAGGAACAGAAATAATGATCAACTAGTGTCAAATTCATCAAGAGCTAAGCAACGATCAAGGAAAGAATAGCCTGGTCTACTGGCATCATCACAACAAGCTCATTAAGATCCAAGTTTGATCCCTCAAACAAAAAATCGTTCAACGAACAAAACTGAAGAGCACTGACAGATTTGAAGTAAACGTGCTCAAACACAAATGTCGCCGCCCCATACGTTACCATCCATGACCAAGATTAAGAATGAAACATTCCAGCTAGACACAAACCTTCCAAAAAAATCACAAACTCTGGAATGCAATAGGAGGTGGAAACATTCTCTTTGTTTCTATTGAACATAACGAATGGTGCATCTCAATTTCTATCAGTAATCCTCTTGATTAATCTGTGAGAGATCAAACCTAACAATGCCAGAGCCCAAACTGATCCAAAACTTGCCCGACCTAACTGCAGCATCATAGTTCTATATAACGCAAACACAATCCTCCTATGCAGCATATACGAAACTCTTCGAAATTTCGGTCACACAAGCTAGCTCATTAGGGGAACTGGGTGCGTGATGCGAACAACCAGATTCTTACTTGTGGCTGGATCGGCAACTGCATTATCTGCAATGCAACATATTCAGGCTTCTTCAGTCACTTCTAAATGGGATTAAGAAGTACACAATACGATTACCTCCCTTCATCGAGACTTCAGACTCTAAAGAAAAACCAGGACTCAAGTGCTGTTATTAAAAAAGAATAACAATCTGTCACAAATACCTGAGATCATTACCTCAACGCTACTACTGCCCAGCCTCAGACCTCTGCAACCTGACACACATATCTCATTGATCCTGAATACATCACGAACACACTCCTCTATAGATCAGCAGTGTCCGCCAGACTTGCTCCAACATATCTACACACGAACCTCAATACCCTTCTACGTTCTGCTGCTATAACTGGACCACGTGAAGATAACGCAATGTACCTTGAGCATCGTTGGTGATGGGAGTTCCGCTACCATTGTTCTATCCATAACATGTTGGGGAAAAATGAAAATAACTTAGCTACGACGTGAAAAAACTCCCATCTAAAGCCACCGATGGCTGTTCCACACGCTCCCAAGCAGCAACAGGATGTTAAGTGAAACATCATCTACTCAGGACAGGATCAAGGCCTCAAAACTACTCATAGGATACAACTGAGCGCCATCAAGTACTTTCAGCATCCTTGCATACTCTCTCCTACTGCAGGCCCCCGCGATCGTTTCCACCTGTACATGAAAAAAGCATGGCCAGACTTCCTTCCACCTCACACATAAGACAGAAAGAGTTCAATGGTACAACCAAGAATGGTACATACTGCTGAACTCGCCAAAAACAAGTCAGCTTCCTTTACAAACTAAAATAAACTCGGAAAAAGAAGAGATGAAGGAAGAAAGAAGAGGAGGAGGAGACGAAGAGGAGAAAAGAAAAGAAGGATAGGAATAAAGATAAAATAGTTAATCTAATCCCGAAAATAGAAATGAAAAAGAGGAGGGAGGATATTGGAAAAAAGGAAAAAGAAAAAGAAAAAGAAAAAAGAAACCCTTCAGTAATCATACTACGCTCGAAACTTCAGGTGATTAAGCACGGATCGACTCCCATCCACCAATCCAACCCACGTACATCGACAATAAATTGCAACAACGCCACAAGTATCGTCAGCGTACGCTCTTGGGGATTTGCCTCCCCTTGTCTGATTATCCATCGCCAATTCTAGTCCATCCATCCATGCCCATGAACGCCTACTTGATTTCATAAACCTGAACTTCACACGTTCATACTCTCCTGCCACCCACACTGCTCATTTGCGCCCGACCATATTGCGTCCCCTTAATAGCAGCTTCTACGCATATCCACTCCGTAAGAAACGTCCTCTGGAATATCACGTCTCTGCCTGAGTCAACGCCCAGCAACATAAACATCATCCTACCGTCACATCATCTCACCGTATGGATTTTCATCCCCCTCTTATTCGCGACGTTTATTTCGTCTCAACTCATTGCTGCTGCTGCTGCTGCTGCTGCTGCTGGATAACGAGAGCCAAGCTACTTTTTTTCTCTTTTGCAGCCTCGATGGCTTGTTTGATCCTTTCCGCGGGTCCCAGCTTGATGTGCAGCCGGTGCTTGGATCGTAGTTGGTCAAGTAGCACCGTGATATCTCTAGAGTTAATCAAAGTGTACTCATCCATGTCTTCCTGCAGCATGGCATCAATGATGGCTGGTGGAACATTGTAACCCTCGAACAGGGCCATCAGAGCTGGGGCATTCACGTGCTCTCGTTCCAAGTCTTCCAAGGCCCTTTTCCTTTTCCTTCGTCCTTGAATCGGCGAAATCTTGGGGATCGTTTCTGATGTTTGATCACCATCTCCACCTGCACTCTCCAAGTAGTACATCCTGTCCCCTTCCTCCCCAGACGATCGGATACCTAAAGGAGTGCCACCACCCTCCAAGCCCAATGGAGAATCTTCGCCTCCCATCCCACCCCCGCTGCGCATGTGTCTCGGGTTTGCACCAATCAACTCATCCATCATATCATAAAATATCCATTTCGACGTCCCAGACCCCGACACACGTTTTTTCTCCCTCTCCACTTTATACCGTTTTTTTAGATTATCAACCTGCGTTTACATGAATCATTAGAAACGACGAATAAAATGTCTACAGCAGAGATCAGGGAAGACTACAAACTTTGAAACTTTTCAACATGAAAATTAATTCGCTGAGATAACAGCAAACTAATCATCACATGAAGCGAATGTAACAAGCTCACCCACCTTAATGCGACACTGCTCCTGCGTCTTCGGTATTCCGTCCACTATATTACCCTGCATGAACAGATAGTGCAAGCCATTATAAGTTAACTCTTCGAAGATCTATCAGAATTCTCAATGAAAAACAATTTGAGTTATCCATTACAAGATTTTGCGTCTGTACATGCATAGACACAGACACAGACAGACACACACATGTATGTATAAGTGTATCTATATATATAATCTCGTATCAGGTTAGGTAATGGATAATTGCTACAAGGACTGACCTAATGCAACCCTCAACCATGACGCAGCTTAAGAGGAAAGGCGAAAAGCGGCGATGTTTTCTACTTCGAGATCATGAAAACTGAAACTAGGAGAAACTTAGGAATGGTTGCCCATTGAAGGCATCTCTGAGAGGTTTGAGACTGAGCCGAGGATCTGAGACGCTATTCATGGCTAGAGCTATAATTCCCCTGTTAAGATGTACTTGCGAAAGTCATTACATGCTCTCACCTCCACTTACGCGACTCAATTTAAAGAAATTTTATTAAATTAAAAAGGCTCAAAAATAAATATACTAAAAAGGAGCAAGGACAGTGACAAAAAACACAATACCTACCAAAGCCTTTCCATTCCAAGCCTTCGGTCACAACCTTACTGAACACATTATGCGTATAAAAATTGGTTTATCGGAAATATCAAAACCCGCCATTCACTTGAAAGACCTACGGTTCCTGCGGGGCCTCTTTCCTGTAGCACTCAATCGTAATTTCATTCCTGTTTGCCTTTACATGCCCCTGTCATCAATCAGCTCCTCCCCATGCATTCTCCCACACATTCAACCTGAAGAGCGGTCGAGCTACTCTGACCAGCTCTAACCCTCCGCGACCGGAAAAATACCGCCGCCGACTCAATAACAAAGAAAGAACGCCTGAGAAAAAGAAAAAGAAGAAAAAAAGAGAAAAACACACACACACAAAGTATTCCACAAAGGAAACCGTCCGTTACCGTCAGTGAGCCGCGGCTGTTCACCCTGGCCGCAATGTCAGCCCATATCTTGCTCGTGAAATTTCCGCGATCAAGTGCGCGGTACTTCTCCCCGAAAGCCTGTAACAGCACTGTGGTGGCGTGCTCGCTCCACTCAATCGCGGGGTCGCGAGACGACCGACCCCGCAGCTTTGCCACCTGCGAGCCCATCTGCGGGCTATTCGCGGTCCCGACATCGCCCTCACTCATCTGCCGGTCGCGGCCCTCCATCTTACCATCCACGCGGAGCATGACCGCGCTCAATCCCCCAAGCTTGGCGTCCATATCATCCACGACGCCGTGCTTCCCGTTTCCCATTTCCACCCCGTACGCATGCGCGTGGTCATGTCCATTCTCATGTCCGCGGTCGCCATACATCACGACGTGCCCCGGGTGCTGGCCCTTGCCCATGTCGTCATGCTCGTGGTCCCCGAGCCCCTTCTCCCCGTACAAAATCCGCTGCTGCTGCTCGTGCTCCTGCTGCTCGTCCAGCATTCTCAGCCCCTGCACCTGCGGCGCCAGGTCCATCCTGCCGACCACCACATGGCGGTCGTCGCAGGCTCCCAACCCCTCCATGCCGCCTCCCGCCCCCCCGCCATCGCCCGGATGCTGGTGCTGGTGCGGATGCTGCTGAAGCATCATCTCCTCGCAACGATGGTGGCTCCCCACTCTTCTTCGTGGTCGCGTCGTCGCCTACACCCGCAACGGAGCGAGGGATGGCGGCCTCCCTTTCCTCGTGGTTCTGTTCAACAGTTGCTGCTCTGGATGCGATGAACTCCTTTCCTCCCTGTCCCCGCTCTCCAACTCCGTCCGTAGCTGTGGCGCCGAAGAAGATGATGCTTGGATGGATGCGAGCCCGCCCCTATCTCCCCCCTTCCCCTCTCTCTGTCGTCTCCCTCCCTCCCTCCCGGTCGCAGATCTCCCCCTCTCCGCCGTAGATCCCTCCTCTCTGCATCGAACGGCGACGATTCCTCTCCTGCAGGGTACCCCGTGTGCTGGACGGGGGCGATGCCTTGAGACTGGACTCGTCCCTGCAACTTGCCAGGTTTTCTTGACGGCCTGCTTCAGTGCCGGGCCTCGCCTCCCCTCGCCGTAAGCTTCCTCGATGCCCAAACCCTAACGTAGTGCTCATTTCTCTCTGCTCACGCTTCTCTACTTTCATTTTTCAAGATTTATCGAGACAAGTCCATGTGTTTATCCCTTTTTTTCAATATTTGCGATGTAAATGGTGTTCTCACATTATTTGTATAAAATGGTGGAGTCGGATATGCTTAAATCCAATATATATAAAAATAAAGTTTGAAATACAAATTATATGTAAACATATGTAAATATATAAATATATATAATATATAAACTATATAAAAATGTATAAATATAAATATAAATACAAAATATAAATAGTATAAATTTATATTTGTATAAAGATTGAAATATCGTAAATCACTACCGATTATTTTATTTAATAATAATACTGTTACAAAGTTTTCATTCAAAGTAGAGCACTCGTCTCATGTCATAAATGTTTAGGGTCAAGGAAATGCCATTTGTAATAAAACATTGAAATCGTGGGCTTTATTCTCACAAAATTAAATTATAACACACGTGTGGACGAACAGATGCCATGTTGATGAAACTGAAGCGGCTGAGCTCAACGGATGAAAGCGTGACCTTCGAACGGGATGCTTCCTAACGGCGAGATCGCGACCATCCAGATGTACCTTTTCAACGGATGTAAAACCAACGGATGACGTTACGTGGATGAAACGTTTGCAAGAAGTTAGATGAAGAAACCCTAACAACGTTAACGGAGGTCTCCATGGTTTCTTCCTTGCTTGCTTCCGATCTTCTTGCACTAGATCATGGTTTCCCACGAGATTTCAGTCTACATCTCTTGATTTCTCAAGGTGATTCGATCATCAAAGGATTCCTTACAAGAATTTATGAGAGCAGTCGTAGGTGTACGGTAGATATAATGGCTGCTAGCTTTTGGCTCATGCACGCGGGATTGCTTGTCGCACAACGGTCTTCCGACATGGTTATGGCGTGGAGTGAGCCACAAAAGTCTCGGGGATAAGGATTTCAGCACGGTCTTACGAAATGGAGCTCTGCAAGGATGCTATAATGCTCGAGAGCACGTGAGAATGGGTAAGGTGACTTGTAATTGGAAGCTGGGAATTTGTAATTTGTAGGGTCGGAGGAGAATTTTGCTTTTGGTTCACAACAATTGGATGTCTGAACATATATCACATTAAGGGAATTTTGTAAACCGTCCTGTAGGGTTCTGGAAATTGATGTAGATTGAGGTGGTCATCGTTCAATCCATGAATTATTCGAAAGAAGATGTACAGAAGTTGACGTCGCTTGTGTGGATCATGTGGAATTATAGTTTCCAATATGAGCGTGCTCTTCTTGTAGGGAACCTATTTTTTGATGTGTTTCATTTCACGTGCATTTCTGCATTCGAAACGAGTTGACAAAACAATGCAATGGAGCATTAACGTGGATGTTTTTCACCGCATTTACTTAGAAGATTACCTAGATTAAGTTCATGGGAGTGCCAAATTGAGGCTAGTCTTTGTGCTGCGGGTAATATTGTGTGATCACAAATAGAATATCCTGTATCTCATCGATCTGAGTTGAGGTTAAAATTTTAACTTTCTAATCAAAGTTGAGTAATCCAGATACTCATAACGAACCAGTGTGTTGTTTTATTGTAGAAATTTGTTGGTCGAAGCTTTCTATAATACGCTACGGTTGTAATCAGATTTCGAATAACCAATTCTGAACTTCTTGAGTGTTGTTGGTAGTAAAATTTAATTGGATATGCTTTCTCAATGTCTGCTGATGATGTGGCAATATGAAAGCAACAATACATGGGGTTGCAAGTCCCTCTGTAGGCGAGGCACGCCCTGCAGCAGGTGGCTGGTATTGTAGTAATTCGTTATAGATGGTATTGCATTGATTTAAAAAATGAATTGATTTGATGATCATTGCAGATCACTTGAATTTTTTCTTCATATTCAGCTATTTTGTACTAAACGCAACAGTCATGGTGAGATAAACCTCAGGAAAACCAAACTTGTGCCAACTCACCCCATCATGGCCTAGGCTATCACCGTCGACGTTCTCAACTGCATACGGAGAGATTTTCACCCAGGTATAGTTTGTTGATAACAAATTGTTTGCATCTCCAAGAGTTGACATTTTAGAGAATATGGCGGTGAAACGATCTTAGACATGTACACAGTTGAGAATTTTGCTCAGAATCTTTTCATGCTTCCAGTTTGCGAAAACTTGCTGTAATTGTATTGATATTGTTTTAGAGTTACTCGTTTGGGACTCCAATCTACAGTTGACATGTACAGAATATTTGTTGGCAAGTGTCTTCCATGACAACTTCGGGGCTTGTCATTGTGGTCCTTACACATCCGTCTTTTGTACAAAGTTTTCGTCATCTTAACAGCTGAAATCTCCACCCTCGAAATCAAGTATTTCTGTGGGTTGAATTCACTTGGACAATGTTGAATAAAATGCATTTATTTGTGCTTGCAGGTATAATTATCTCGACATACTAGAAGCCCTGAGTGTCGAGGTTATTGCATTTCAACTGGTTTTAGACCCGGTCTGCATCCTTTCTAATCGGTTCTCTAAATATCTCGCCAAAGTCGAGTGTGATAACATTACACAATTGTCGGTAGAGCTTCTGTGTAGCTGTGCCTGAGCTTGTGTAAAGGTAACTTCAGACCGCATCGGTGATGATAGACTCGTGTGCGCAACTTTCATTGCTCTAGCTTTTGCCTTGTTGCTGGTGATCGACATGTTGACAAAATTCAAAATTGCAGTAATCTTGAATTCACGATCAAACCTCTGGCATTACAAAGTGATTGACTGCATACTTGTGTGCACCATGTACTGGACATACAGCGACTTGCATGTGAATACTCCGCTCACATTCCAGTTTATTCATTGCACAAGATTGGATAATCACACGAATTCAAAATTCGCCCCTCCTTTACTCTTATAATTTTATTTACGCTAAGACAAGGCGTAGAGTACACACAGATCTTCACTCGACTCGGATGACCAATGGACAAAGAACAATGTACGAAAAAGTCGGAATAAGATGGACTTTGTATCCACCATTCTTAATTCGAGTTTGAGCAGCTGTACAAAACAATGTGGACCATTGTCATCAGGTGAAAAATAAAATGAGGGCCTTAAAAAATTGCTGATGTGAGATAATAATATTTACAGCTGCGGCTTAAGCGTAACTGGTAAGAAAGAAGTTGCTTTGGTTCCGTTGAAGGAACTTTACAAAATCCGCTAACTTCTGTTGTAGCTGGGTCAATGCTTCGTGTTCCATATTTGTATAGACTAGCAACTCGGACAACTTCACAAATAACCGAAGTAGGTGTTCTGCTCCATAGATGCTGCAAGGGCTGACGTCGCTTCCCGCTGGGACTGCACTCGCATATTGAGCTCGTTCCTGAGGGTACAACAACATCGCCGGCAGAGACTTGTCGAAGTAACTTCTCAAGCCATTCAGAACTTCAATTAGAGAATCATCTACAGCACCATCCCGCTTGGTCTTGCAATCTATATATTTTTTAAAAATCTCTTCTGCCGATGGAGATCGTGGTAACTTTACCAACTTCCCTAGTTGAGTGATAAATTCCCAGTCTTCTACCAACTGTTTTTTCAAAGTGCCAGGCAGAGATATCTTCAGAGCTTGGTCAAGCTCATCAGTGACTTTAGATTCAGAAACTGGATCAGATTTCCTCTTCTTCCCTCGAGTACCTGATAGTTTGTTCTCGTTCTTGAGTTCGTCTCTCTCAGATGCACTTTTCTGCTTCCCTGCTGGCACTCGACCTTTGGACTGCTTATCCCCAGTCTGGCTTTTGAAGAGTTTTTTCTGTTTTTCAAGGTTTCCTTCTGTAGGCTTCATCAGCCTATCCGCTCCAACCCACTCGTCCCAGTTCTTGCTCCATCCCAAATAGTGCACAAAGTACTTCCATTCATTCTTCTGAAATTCAGCTTTCTGAATTTTAGTGTCATAAACAAGAGGGCCGTGGTAGGCTAAAACTTTCTCGCCTTCCTTGAACGGACCAGTCTCTGTTTTCTCAACTCCACTGTCTTCGGCTTCATCCTTCACCATAGCCGATGAACTTCCCATCTCTCACACTGCCTCAGCATCAAGTTCTTCGATGTAAAGGAGAGTGATGCTCAACTTGAAAGAATACTACGGAGGCAGGAACATATGGACCCAAAACATTGACCTGCAGCAATTTTAGAATTTAAAAAAAAAAAAACTAAAAGTAAAAAGTAGTGAACTAGATACACGTATGAATTAAGTAACCCATGCAAAGACATCAATGAAACATAATAACACCGAAGCATAAGGGATCTAAACGAAACAATAAACATTAATGTAAGAGTGTGTGAGAACTAAGTGTTCTATCTAGGTTTCATGAGATCTAGAAACAGAGGAGAAGGGGTTTCAAATTCAGGAGACCACTTCCCGACCTACTCGAGTTGAACAATTAACAGATCAGTGCATTACACAGGGGAACTACAATTGTCAGAAAGAGCTAGACCCCTCGAAAACTCTTCAAATACAAAGCATGTTATTATCACGAATGACCTGCCCAGAGCATGTATCGACACACCACTGTTCGACGAAACGCTCCTTCCAACGAAAAATTGGCGCAATTCGCAGTATAGAGCGATCCTTCAGAAGTACGCAATAGACAGCAACTTCATCCGCTCTTCCGAGCGCCAGAGGATCCCCGGAATACTCAGCTCACTGCAGAGGCAAAAGCGTAGTACTAAAGAACAAGCATCCCGATCAGATGTAACATCAAAAGTTGTTCATATATCTCACAAGAGTGTCGACTCCCTCCCAAGGATCCATCAGAACAGAGACGAGCTAGCACAGCAGCTAGAATGAGCCAAGCATGCCTCACACTGAGCCAAAACGGACGATGTACAGCTCAATGGAATGATCAGGAAACACAGAAATACGAAGAAAGCGAGGCGTCGTGTGACAGGACCCGATCGGACTGCAACAAAGCTCGGAACGATCTCTGGATGGAGCAACCAGCGACGGAACCCTAAGGGCACAAAAACGTTTGATTCCGCTCCCCGTCAAGGCGCGAAAAACAGTTCTCATCCACCCGACATTTTCATACATCCAACATCCATCCCAGCTCCTCAAGTTTCGAGTTCAACCCCTAATCGCATTCATTTAAATCACCTGATCATTATTCGAGAACCACAACATTGTCTTTAATCTTTGCTTTAAAGCACAAAGTCGCCATTGTATGGAAAGTGAAAGCTATAACATTGAAATTCTATTTAAAGCTTCTCGATGCCTTTTTTAAACCATTATCAAAGTATTATCTTCAAGTGGAAGACCCCAATCACCTCAACTATAGTTCTCACATACAAGTATGTGCTGTTATACAAGTAAATATGCATTTATATTAATGGTTACATATAAGATGCCACCAAATGAAATTAGGATAAAAAGGCACTCGTTCAAGGATGAGGGGCTGGGACGGTAAATTCGAAGCCTCTAGAAGTACGCCACGTGGCGAAAAGAGCCTCTCGAATTCATTATCCTGTTTGTAGGGGCGTGATTTCGGGGATTGAATGGGAATTCTGCGTTGCAGAGATTTCTATGAAGCAGTTACACGTTGTTCCGCCACAGCCACCGAGTTTGAAGCAAGATCGAACTCGCTGTGACACCCGCCGAAGGTCGTCCACAGATCCTGCCTCGGAAGTGGAATCGAATCGCATTGCATTGTTGCGTGGAGGTCGGCAATGGCGTGTGCTGGTGCAGCTGTGGTGAATGTGGCCGCATTCCAGCAGTGCAAACAATTCGGCATTGCTTCGTCAACTCCCGTTGGTGCTGAGTTTTTTCCTTCCGTGCGCTTGGTTCTAATTTTGGATTATGATTTAGTTGAGAGATGTTTCTGGTGGAATCAAGCCGCATATTTTTTGGATGTGTTATTTTTTTCATACGGTGGGCTGTGCATATTCTTTGGTGTGATCAAATTCGTCTTTGTAGATTTGATGGGAGTCAGATTTTATCTGCTGCAATTGGTATGTCCTCTCCTATGATTCAAGTACCAAGGTCCTGTACATGAGGACACTGCGCGCATGAACTTGAACGGTATTCTCTTCCGGTTGGATGTGATGCAGGCTCGGATAGGAGAGTCCCGACCATCCTGAGAGCACTGAATAGCTCTTCACTTGGGAAGCAAGGCGTTGGTTCCAGGTCCTCGTACTTAGGAACACAAGTGCAAGAGACGCAGCATATGCAGTCGACGAGAAAGGGAGCGGGTATTGGGGGTAGTGCACGGGCTGCGATATACATTGACAATGAGATTTACACAGAGGAGGCAGAGACACAGGGATCGGTGACATCTCTACCAACCACGCAGAAAGGGTGGACTTACAGTGAGTATGGATCGAAAGACGTCCTGAAATTCGAGGACATTCCAATGCCCGAGGTGAAGCCAGACGAAGTTTTAGTGAAGGTGCAAGCTGCAGCGCTCAATCCCGTGGATTCCAAACGGATGTCGGGGAAATTCAAGAACACGGATTCTGAGCTTCCTGTATGTGTTTTCGTGCATTTTAACTCGTTAGGTTTGTCTTCGTATTCATTCAATTTGTGGTGCCTTTGCTGTACCAAAGAGTACTCCTGAAGCTCTAAGTCACCTCAAAACGTCAACCTGGTGTTCAATGGTTTCAGTCTATGTACGAATGCTTGAATTAGAACATCACCTACTTTAATTAATTGACGTTCAATGCCTTAATGTGGGGTCCTATTTTAAGTCCAAGGCATTTCTCCATTCCAACCAGAGAAGTGCTTAGTAAAATTCTAAGGATGGAAAATCCTTTACTTGCTTCTGTCTAATGGAAAGAGCCGCATCTCATCTTATCCTGCTCACTAACAACTTTGCAACAGCATGTACCCGGCTACGACGTTGCGGGAGTAGTTGTGAAAGTAGGCTCCGACGTGACCAAGTTCAAGGAGGGTGACGAAGTTTACGCCGACGTTTCCGAAGCTCCATTGAACAATCCTAGGCAGGTTGGATCATTGGCACAATTCACTGCGGTTGAGGAGAAGCTTCTAGTAATCAAGCCCGCTAACTTGAGTTTTGCTGAAGCAGCAAGCCTTCCTCTTGCGGTTCTAACTGCCCAAGAAGCACTGGATAGGGCTGGCCTTACGGAAGGACAAACTATATTTATTAACGGAGGAGCTGGAGGTGTTGGAAGTCTAGCCATCCAGGTTAGAGCACTGCCTACTCAACTCGTAACATTCGCACTACTTGTTTTCACGTTGAATTTTCCTCCTGTTATCTCTTCTGAATTCCTAGTCGATCACCTTAGGAATATTTGCAATGACACTCGACCCAATTTTAGCTGATAGATAGAGACCTGTACATGCGGCAGTAAAGTAAGCTATCTAAATTCTACAAAATTTGACTGTCGAATGTACACAGTTGGCGAAGAATGTGTACGGAGCATCACAAGTGACAACTACGGCAAGCACTGGAAAGTTGGAATTCGTGAAGAGTCTCGGAGCAGACAAAGTCATTGATTATAAGAACGAAAAATTCGAGGAAGTCTCGGAGAAGTATGATGTCGTTTTAGATTGTGTTGGTAAGCCTCGAACCCGCCAATTCATGTAAAGCCGTTACAATTTTCTGTAGATTCCGATGCTATGCACTCCAGAATGGAACCTTTACATGCGACCCAGAATTGTCCCACTTTCAGTAATAGAATGTGCCGTAGTTTCAGTGGACCTAATCTGGAAGGATTGTGGAAATTCTCAGGAGAATGCGCCAAATGCGTGAAGATTGTGAAGGAGGGCGGTGCAGTTATCGCGTTGACAGGAGCCCTGGAGCCTCCGGGTGTTCGCTTTGTGGTCACTTCCAATGGCGAAAGTCTGGCTAGGTTAACCCCTTACCTTGAAAGTGGGAAAGTGAAGCCCATTATTGATCCCAAGGGCCCTTTCAAATTTTCAGAGTTGGTTGAAGCATTTGAGTACCTCGACACAGGACGAGCAACTGGAAAGATCGTTGTAGCACCCATCGAATGAGGCACTAAAACATGTAGAATGTACAGGCTCATTACATACCACATAACCACCTTGGACAGACGTTTTTGATGCTCTCGTATCCATGTCGGTTCCACTATGTGGAGGTAACTGGTGTGAAAAAGGAGCACAACAAATGTTACTGCATTGCCATTTTTGGTTTTTAGTCCAAACGTGATGTGGGGTAGTGTGTCTACGAACATGCACACTGTCGTTAAATTTGTTGGCTACATCAGATACGTAGATATGAACGAGTGTACTCCATGTAGTTATCATGCAAGCAGAATGTTTCTCAGGGCGGTTTGAAATTTTCATTGTGTAATCTTTTCTCTTGAGCGTGAAATTTAAACTTAATGAATTTCTTTATTTACACATGCATAGTTTAAAGGAAGAATCTTGCCATTCTCAGAACTTAATGTGCGTTTGATTTGATGAATCTAAAAGTTGTAGACTTACTCCTCCGTATGTGTAGTCTCAAACATGTTTTATACACAAATATTTAACATATCTAAAAGCATTGATATCATTTACGAAATATATTGCCCTCAGAAATTTATTCTAATAGATAAAAAATTTCTATATAGTTCTACTTCGTAATAGCAAAAATATTACGAATACATTTATCAAAAATTACACATACAAGTCGTCCGAAAACATGTATGATGTAAAGAAACATAATTCCAAGAACTTGTATCTACAGTTTTTTCTTACCCGCCAATCAGTTCAAGCAAATCAACCGACCCTGTGGGGAGACGACATACTGATTTGGGTTGTTTTCTCTACAACTTTTTGGAGCTGATAACATCAAAGCTTATTCCATTTTTTTGCAGCCGCTGCAGATAGTCAGTTCCACCAAACACTGAACCAGGAGTAAGCACCCCTCCCTTGGGCAGATTGTGCCGTTCGTCCAATACGATCAAAGCAGCTTGAATCAAGGTGATGGGAGTGGTGATATACCCGATCTCGGGCCCCGAAACTCTTGTCACAATTTCTTGGTCAAACTTAACGCTAAGAGTGTGTTGTGTAGAATTACTGCAACCTCGACCAACGAAATACATCTTGAAGGAGGCTGAATCGATTTCCTCTTCGCTGGGGCCCTCCTTTTGGAATATGCCAAGGGAAAAGAGCTCCGGGTGTTGGATTAAGAGCTTTTCACCAAACTTGAATCGTGTGAAGAACACCAGGAGGAGGCCTATGACGAACATCCCTATTATGCCAATAACTGACTTCTGGATCACATAGCACCCGTAGTGTACTGGCTTGATGGACGTCCATGGTTGACCATTTGAGGATAGGAATTCCCCTGATGCATTGAAAAGCCCGTTAGGGTTTTCGACCATTGTGGCGTGAGTGCGGCGTACTACTGTGGCGTCGGCTGAAGGGAGCCTAACAGCCCACCCGCCTGCGTTTCCCTCCCAGTGGATCAACCCTGGTTTCTTTGAAGAACTCCTTGGGATCTGCGCGATTGGGAAAGATTCAAAAATACAAATAAATAATGTATTAGCATATTAATGAAAAGAATTAGAGCGTTACTTCAATTGAAGGGGATGTGATCACACTCTCGACCCTCCAGGGTGTCATGACTCATTTCTAGTCATAAAGAATATTTATATAACGATGACTCGCATGTGTGTGATCAATCTAAAGTGATCGTAGATTGAAAGAAGGACGGAATTTCGTATGTTGTGACTCAATCAACAAGAGGACCACAAATTACCTCTAATTGCAGTTGGATATCGACGACTAGAACTATAGAATTAAAGCAAGGTGCTTCATCACCAAAACCTCCCGAAACACATCCAGATTCTAAGCATTTTCGAGAAAACTTCAGACAAGTAGATAGGAAAGACAACATTCCGGATTAAGAGAATGAGTTACCTGAGGACGCTGCCGCCGGGGTCTTGATTTTCGTAGCGTTTGAAGGTCGGCCTGATTAGCAACGCCAAGGACTAAAGTCTCCCATGTTCCTATGTTACCTTTAATGCGTTTGCCAGTAGATTCCAGAACAAGGTACGAGTCCACGGTGATGGGAACGGAAGGAGGCTCCCACTGCTGAGTATTGTGGATAACGCCGAATTCTGCAGGGATTGAGTCGTAGCCGCATGCGCTCACTACCAATGACCCTGGACGACATCACAGCTCCTACCATTACACATCCAACTACAAAATCGAACCATAATTGTATAGCTAACAATATTTACCCTAGTGCATCATTTACTCAAGAAAATCAAAGTTAAGAGCCTAAATGAAAGCCACTTACTAAGTGTGGCTGTAATGATCCCGCCACTCATTGAACATCCTCAAATCATTCCTGAACTACCAATGCATTTTTTGCAATAACATTAGAGTAACGTCACAAGCTTATCTTAACATCAGCAGAAGAAAATATCGATGCGTTAGAAGTGGACGAACACGTGCACGGTTATGACGCAATCCGGCTCAGAAAGAGAAATGTGTGACAAACCTGTCTGCATAGCTTTCTCGTGATACAGATGCTCCATCCGCTCCATGAAATCTGGTTCCCCAGTGATGTCGAGGTAATCCACCCCGGCCTCCACGCAGGCTTCAACCACAGGCCGACCATATTTCCTGTATGGACCAACGCAGTTCAAAAGCAGCTTGGTCTTCTTGCAAACAGCGACGAGCGATTCCACGTTGCTTACATCTGCTTCGTATATGGGAATGGAAGAGCTCACTGAGGCATTCAGGCCCCCGGATGCCCATGTCAGAGCCGCGGCAAGCTTTTTCTTGGAGCGGCCAGCAATGGCGATCTTCCGAAGCGGAGCGTTCGATGGACTGACGAATTTAAGAATCTCACGCAGCACGTACTTCCCCGTGAACCCGGAGGCCCCTAAAATTACGACATCTACCGATTCCTCCGCCATGGCCAACTAAATCTCCTCGTATGACAAAAACAGCACTCAAAATATAGATCAATTAGTACTAATCCACAGTGTATTATCAAATGCTCCGCAGAACCCACTCGAAAACGTCCACACTCACAGGCGAAAAAAAACTAAGCAAAGCAATACAAATGTGCCCACCAAGTAACGCAAACCTACGAAGTAGAGCTTCCAATGGGGTTGCGTGCATAGACCCCTGCAAACCACTCGGAGATTTCACCAATGAAGACATCGCTGCACGTTCTGCATCTCATAGATTTCACAAGAGTTTCGTTCCCTCAAAAGGTACAAGCGAGCTACTCACTGCTGGTCAACATCCCAGTCAAAGAGGGCTCGAAAATCATGTTAGTCTTCGAAAATTATAGTGCCGGGTATTGGGGGAGAGGTCGGCGATGGCGGTGCAGAAATTGGGGTTTGCTGCGGAATCCTCACATCCTTTCTGCTAACCTAATTCTCACTTCTCCGATCGTGTAGCATATCTTTGTATTTGTCTCTCCCAATGAATGAGATACTGCTCCTTTGATTGTGTAGAATTAGGTTAGAATTTTAGTAGGAATACTTTAGCAAGCTTTGATTCCAAGCTTAGAGTGAATGCCACAGAACTAAGAACAACTTATATGGCATATACCACTTAGATGACAATTTATAACCATTGAAAAGAAACTATCTAACAAAGTAGTATCTCTATGTTATTTTTGTAGTTTTGATGGTCTTTTGTTGTAAATAACAAAATTTCTTTGTTAAAAAGTCATTCAAAGATGATATAATATTAAATAAGGTAACTATGTGGCATAGATATTGAAATTTGCCTTGCAGGTTAAGATACATGTCTTAGAAAGTCAATATATTTTGAAGGTCTTATAGGATATTATCATGTAGCTCCTAGTTAATAGTATATATGGAAGCAAGACTGAAGCCTTCTTTACTCTTGTCAATGCCTTTTTAGTCCTTAGTCTTATTTCTTGTTTAAATAGATTTTTTAATTTTCTTGTTTTTGACAATAGCTATTCTAGTTTAATACTATATCATCTTTGAATGACTTTTTAGTTCTTTTGAATGACACAAGAGTATATTGAAGATTTCTTTCTTCAAGCTTCGTGTCGTTGATAATTTGACAAGAGTGCTAAGTTATTATTCTTGTCTTGTTTTAGAAATAAGTAGATTATTCCACTTCTTTTGTTGTGTTTTGAAGGTTACAAATTACCCACCTTTAAATAAACTATTGAATTTTTTAACACCAATTTTTTTTTCCTTAAAAAGAGCAAATTATCATTTGTAGAAATTTTCATTTGATAATAGAGATTGTGGATTATCCTCCTCTAATTTGATTTATGGATTTGTTAAGTTATTTGAAATGGAAGGAAAAATCATGGATACTATACTTAGTGGAAGTGAGAATAGATTTGCAACTATTGTAAATCTTCACAAACTTATTAGTACTTTTAGAGTAGAAATTTCATGCATCACCAATCCCAACTACAAAAATATTAATCCTACATCCATGGAAGAAGTTCAAAATCTATGTCAAGAAGTTGTGTAGTTGAAGAAAGCAAGTAGATCAACTTCACAACCAAATCCAAAAAGTTTTTCTTCTACAAGTATGATGGAGATACAAATTAGTATGCTTGATAAGTTTGATGGAACAAGATCAAAATTTTGAGGATTTTTGCAAAAAGTGAAGCTCTATCTACGGTTGCATCCTTTCTAATACCTTGATGGATTTACTCAAGTTGGGTTCATAAGCGCAATTCTATCTAGAAGTACTCTTTCTTGTTTTGTACTGTTAATAGAAAAGAATTCATGATTTTTTTATGATTTGAATTCATTCTTAAAAGTATTTATGGCTACATTTGGAGATAGTGATAAAAAAAGAGTTGCAAAAATTAAGCTTTTATCTTTATAACAAAGATCATAGTCAAGTAGTATATATGTTGTTGAATTCCAAAACCTTGCTTGCAATATGGACTGGAATGACAATGCTGTCATCAATCAATTTCAATATGAATTAAAGAATAACTGTTAGATACAAGAACTTGATAAAAGTAAATAAAAAAATATAAAAAAATATAAATAAAGAAGTATGTGCATTAAAAAAAAACTGGAATGGCTATTGTCAAAAGATAAGGAAACTAAAGACTCTTGAATCTAAACTAGAAGCAAGAAAGGAATTGAGAAGAGTAAAGAGACCTTCACTATTGCCTCTATATATACTATCTAACTAAGAGCTATGTGGTAATGTTCTAAAGAATCTTTAATATATATTGACTTTGTAGGACACATGCCTTAGCTTATAAGACAAGTTTTCTATGTATGAACCATATAATTAGCTTATTTTTCAAGCTACCAACATGTGTAGCACATGGCTAACTTATTGACCATGTTTTTAATCTAAAAAGTTAATTATAGATACCTATAAAGTCATAGCGGTATTTATGAAGCTTCTAGAAAGCTTCTATAAAAGATAATATGGAATTAATCTATTTTTACCTACTTCTATTTAATCATATAGGTAATTGTTGGTTTACATGTATATATCCATGTCATTACCTCCCTTTCTAAGGACAAGTTCCATAAGGAGCAGTCATCATATCTTGAAAAAATCTAAGATGCGACAAATTATATTTGCTACATACTTTGATCTTTGTTCTTTTTAAAGATGATTGATAGGGCCTCTCAACCATCAATAGTGTTCCATATGAGGGTGGGAAGACCATCCAATTATTTGATCATTGTTAAGACCTTCATAACTTCCTTCAAATAAAATATTTGGAATACCATCACGATGTCATGATGTAACATGGATAATAAGTGAAAGGGTGAAGAAAATATCATGTTTTGAGGATCTCACTTCAAAAATATTGTAGCAAATTATCTTGGAAAAATAGATATTAGTCAAAGGGTAGAAAAATTAAAGGTGCTAATGCTGCCTATTTACAAATTATGCTTCTATTTACTTTGTAAGGCCATAAATAAGGCAAAACAAAGTAGATTAGAAAAATAAAGGATATAGGCATATTTAAGGAGGAGTTAGGATTGCAAATTAGTAAAAATTACCTCAAGAAGACGAAAGTTGATACCCGAAGAGGACCGGTTATGAACCTGGGTCGAAATCAGACCCCGAGGCACAAAACCGTGCTCTGACGGCGACTCAAGGACTCTTTGGGAGATCGGAGAGTGGGGTTTGAGAGAAGATTGGATAAGGTTTCTATAGGCATTGATTTTGGATGATTTGGAGTTTTTATGACTTTGTAAGAGCTTTGCAAAGTCAAGGTTTGTTTCGGATGACTTGGGTTTTATGAAATAAAATAGGGTTTATGTTTTGGGTGATTTCAAGAGTTTTGTAATAGATTTACAGGTGAAATTTTGTGGGTTTATGGTTATAGTTTTGTTTAATATGTGTTGTGAATTTAAGCTCGATCTAATAGTTGAATTGAGGAATATTGAGGTTTAAGTGGGTCAAGGTCTCAAAAAGTAGAATTTTAGGTGTAATAGGGGTTTTTAAGATTTCTTGCAATCTACCAATTGGATTGGAATGAAACTTACGTGAGAGGATATTAGACTTGATTTTCTATGTGTATAAGAATTTTGAGATCACTCAAACGGTGCAAAAGAAAGATATTAGCTCTGGAAGATTGGCATCAAGATTGGAGAAGGAGGCCAGTCAATACCCAAGTACATTTTTGAGGTTATCATCAATTTGGTGACTCCGATCCTTTTCAATTTTTTTTTTACTTATTTTTAACTTATTTTTTTAGAAGTGTGAAAAATTTGAATTAAGATCGACAATTTATTCATTAGTTATTGAGGTTTAAATCTATTATATAAATTACTAGGGTTTGGTTTAGGGTTTAGAATTTGGATTAGGATTTAATTTAGGATTTAGGGTTTGGATTAGGATTTAGTTTAGGATTTAGGATTTGAATTAGGATTTGATTAGGATTTCATAAAGGGTTTAGGATTTGGATTAGGATTTGGTTTAGGGTTTAGGATTTGGATTAGGATTTGTTTAGGATTTGATTTAGGGTTTAGGATTTGGTTTAGGGTTTGGTTAGGATTTGGTTTAGGATTTGGTTGGGGTTTGGTTTAAGGTTTGTTTAGGGTTTGATTTAAGGTTTAGGATTTTATTAGGATTTAAGATTCAATTAGTTTTGGCCTAAAGTTTGAATGAAGTTCTATATGATTTTAATTAGAATTAAATTAAGATTGAATTGAGATGTATTTGAGTGATATTTATGATCCTTCTAATATTTCTTTAAGAATTCTTATTGTTTATTTGAAATTTCTTTGAGGTTTTTTTGAATTTTATTAAGCTTGCTTAGCATTATTATGATCTAATTAGAGTATTTTTAGTATTCTTTTAGAATTAGGATTTTGTTATTACAATTTCCATTCTTCCTTCTACAGCTAGGTGCCCAAAGCATTCTCAAGCAAGACTTCACGTATTACGACAACAAGTTGTTCCTACCTCTAGTAAAATCTCTAAACATCGAGAGTTCTTTCCAAGGTTGTGATATCAAATGCATTGTCATCTATTCAAAGAAGAACATGTCATTCTTGAAGATCTTTATTTTGATTGTGTGAACTTGAAGGTTGTGGTAATTATAATGTTTCATCTAATAAGTTAGTAAATAAAGACACTTGAGTCGAATCCATAAGTTGTTGATTTTCTATCTCATTAGTGTCACAAATACAAAGAAGCTACAATAAAGATAGAAAGTAGAATATTATCTTGCTTAGATCTTGTTATTTTTATAAGAAATGACTTTATATTGGTTTTGATGGATGTCGTTGATGAAAAGCCTCTACCTTCTTTGTTGCATTTACAAGATTCTTTGTTGGCTTCCATATGCATTCATTAATATCATATACATGCCAATGAATAATATATTCCAACCTATTTTGGTACTGCTTTGATAGTTCAATATCTACTTGTCACGGACATCCACATAAACCAATAATTACCTATGTGATTTAATAGAAGTAGGTAAAAATAGGTAAAAATAGATTAATTCGATAATAATTTCTATAGAAGGTTTATAGATGCTGCTTTGACTTTATAGGTATCTATAATTGATTTTTTAGCTTAAAAACGTGGTCAACAAGTTAGCCATGTGCCACACATATTGGTAGCTTGAAGAATAATAAGCTAACTATGTGACACACATATAGAAAACTTGCCTTATAAGCTAAGGCATGAGTCTTGCAAAGTCAACACATTTTAAAGGTCCTATAGAACATTGCTACATAAGTCCTAGTAAGATAGTATATGTAAAGTTAAGAATGAAGCCTTCTTCACTATTGTCAACTCCTTTCTTGCTTCTTGTCTAGATTCAAGAGTTTCTAATTTCCTTGTCTTTTAAAAATAGCTATTTTAGTTT